TTGCAATTTGTTCAACTCGTCACGTGACGAGTTGAAACGCTCTCGTTAGGGAAACACTCCATTTCTTGTTGAAGGCATGAATAAAACTGCGGCAGTTTTCTTTTTTAACTGAGTATTGAGTTATTATAGACAGTATTCTTTTTATCAACTTTTATTTGCTATAGATAAAAGAAAGAAAATATGTCAAAAACGCAGAACTATCACTGACAAACTTCTCTTGTTATGTTTTTTCTCGTAAAGACAAAATTGCAGAAACCAGAATAAAAGAGAGGATTATTTTCTTCTTTCTTCCAGTTTTCTCATGTAGAGATGTTATCAGATACGCCAACACACATGTTTGCCACGTATGCATGGTGTACAGTCAAAAGACTATTTCTGCAGATATCTCTTGTGTGTTACTTTGATTCATTCATACAGTTTATATTGTTCGCTTTAGGAGTATCCAACTGATAGAATACGATCATCGTACACGGGGCTTGATTTAACTAACTCTGGTATATCGTTCAACATCATTTATCGAGTTAATTAGCATAAGTGCATGCCTGAGCTCTAATTATTACCTTACAATGCATCATCTTATGGAAACTATCGTGATTATCTTCTTGATTCTAAATTATTCTCCTCAATTATTGGATCTTGAATTTGTCATCGAGCATATTTTGTGCGGTGGCGAAGTTCACTCACTGACATTACTAAATCCGATGTTTCAAATCTAAACATGATTGAAAACTTCATTAAGTAAATAGAAATAGTTGTCTTCTAGTTGAATGATGTGAAATTGTCGATGTTAATTATCGAGAACTTGTTCATATTTGTGTTTGTCATCTTCAATGCAATGATTTTTCTGTTTATTTTCTATTGTTAATGACTGAATTCACTGTTAAAGAATAAGAAAATTAAATTAAATCTATGAATTGCATCTATTCTATCAAAAAGATCAGATTTTTAATTATAAACTAGAGGAATGACATTTAAAAAGAACTTACAGTAAAATAGCTCCTAGATTATATGAATATATGAGCTTCACATTTTTAGCCCTTAAAGGGGCTGTGCTGACTAGATTTTTCTATCTGTTTTAAAATTTGAACATCGATTCACTCAATGGCAATATTTGCTTTTATCGATTTCTATTTTTTTTCTCGCTACATTTCAAATTAGAAATCGAAATTGAAGTACATAAAACGCCTAGATGCGTTTGTGTTTTTTTTTGACATATATTGATGTAAACAACCTACTAGTAATAGAGAAATAATTCTGTCCAATTCTTCCATCATCATGGACATGCTTTGAAGTTATCAAAATATAAAAATTTAGTATATTGCATTGGTGCATGTTGGATATTAAAGTGATGAAACACCTGTTTATTTAGAAAGTGAGAAGGAAGACTCTTGCCAAAAATCATGTCATACATTGAAAATTCACTCTTAACAGAACTAAACTGTCGGCAAATGTCGAACAGTGCGTTTATTGGATTTTCTCCCTAAGAAACATTGAAATTTTGCAGTCGTCAATACTCCAATGCTCTTAACGGTGAAAGTTCCACAAAAACACAATTTTCGGCAATTACCGACAGTTAGCTATTTAAATCAGTACTGCGAAACACGTGTTTTCCGTTAATTTAATAGACTTTTGAAAGATCGTACTTCAGCTTCTGTTATTATGCTCGCCGGATGTTAGAATCGACCTATTATCTCCTTCGTTTATTGTTTTCGTTTTCTACTGACTAGTCAGGACACGATCAACAAACAAAATGGACTAGACATGGCAGCGTTTCTAACAACCAATCGTGATAGGCTATATGGTCATCTTGGATGCATCATGTTGTCCGTTGTTCCTTATGTTTTGTTTAAGCTGATTCGCATTTTTCATTGACCTTTTGTTTTTTAGATTACATACTATTTATACAGCTAACTTATAATACATTGAATAGTGGCAGATAACACAACACAAGTCAACTATTATATTGAATAAGAACAAAAAGTTATCAAACTTTATTTATTCTTTTAATTTATTTTATTTTGAAATATTATTTTCTGAAAAAACACAATGAATTTAGAATTATTACCCAATGAAATCTTTCTTGATATATTCGATTATTTCGATGGTACTGATCTTCTTCGTGCATTTTATGGTCTCAATTCCCATTTGAATTATCTTCTTTATAAACAATTTCGATGGTATCGTTTCAAATTTCGGTCTGTATCAAAACGTAACTTCGATATGATATGCCAACAATATTTTCCATTTATTACTGATAGAGTTATTAGTCTTCATTTGTTTAATAGTGATGACACTCCAGAACAATTGAATCTATTCTCTTCTTACATACCATCATTCAGTCAATTCACTCATTTACAATTGTTAGAACTATTCAACATTGATTCATATAAGAGATTGTTGAAAGTTCTAAACGAATGTCGTCATCTCAATAATCTTACTCATTTAAAACTTCATTCTTGTTCTTTTGGAAATGATCAAGTTGATTTTCAATCAATTGTTAATCATATTTGGAGCTTACCAAAACTGACCAATTGTTATTTTGGCATTACTGTCAAAAATCAACGGCGTTTCTGTGTTCCAACAATTATTTCCTCATCACTTGAATGCATAACTTTATTTCTCAGTGAACTGACAATGAATCAGATAAATCGCTTGTTTGAATACACACCTCGTTTAAAACGTCTTTTGAAATGTGATTTGGCTCGAATTAATGATAATTATAAAGCATCTTCACTACCAAAACTGATTCATTTGGATATCAGTTTTTATTCAGATGATGTTTCAAAATTAATTCTCTTTTTACAGAATATTCCTAATTTACGTCATTTGAATATCGACATATTCACTAAACTAATTGATGGTCATCAATGGGAACAAATTATTCGGAATTATTTGCCCAAACTTAAAACATTTAAACTCAAATTGAAACCCATGGTGTAAATTTCTGCGAAAAAAACGCGTTCTGAAAACGCATTTTTCCATAGCTGCGAAACGCGTTAATGCTGACCGGTTTGACGCGTTTCACATCTGCTAAAACAAACGCTGTGTAACGATTGTTTTTGTGAAAAATTTCGCCGTGTTTCTCAAACTGTGGTGTCGTAAATTCTAGATGGAAAAAAAATTGAAAATCGTCAATGACTTCATAGATCTTGAATTGCAGGTACAATTTATGTATTCGCTTACATTTTTTCATAGGCCTTTAGAACTATAACTTACATGAATTTTGATGCAGTCAAGACACGGATTCGAACACGAGAACATAGGAGTATAAGACATGTATACAAACCGTTCAACTAAAATAATCTAATGATATAAGTGTTTATTCTACTGTCATTTAGAGTCCCGCGTAAACTTACTAAATTAGATTTTCAGTTTCCATTCCACTGAATTAAAAATTATCATTTCTTTGGTGCCTATGTCCAATTACGAGTGTGGTCTTTTCTTGTTACATTTTTTATTTAAACTCTTTCAGATTTAAATTTAGATACACAATAGAAACGAATTTAATCGATTTACACTGTATTTAACATATAAAAAATTAAATTTCTTATATATAAATTTTAAAAAATTTAAAATTTAATCTTTTATTTATTTTCTTGATTAATAGATTTTTGTAAATGTAAATCCGTCATCGTTCTATCCAATTACATCAATAAATGAAAGGAGTTTTCTTTTGTAAATCGAATCTCTTTTATTAAAAAGTCACTCTTACTTCAACAATGTACAAACTAAAATCATGTCTACTAGTATTGTACCCAGTATCATTAGTTATTATCAATTAGTTCGAGTATGAACTCAAACATAATAATTATTCAAATTATAGATAACGCGTTAGTTCTTTTGTTCACAAATAACCAAAGAGAGTTACTATACTAATTATATTAGTATCAGTCTTTACTAAATCTTTTCGAAATGCTCAATATTTAAGACGACCTGTCCACGTAAAACGTGATTCCGTCATGCTTTATTTGTTTTATTTCATACAAATGACTCGATCTCTAGAATCCAATGCATTTGCAATCTTAGACAAAAATTGTGCTTGTCAAAATGAGACACTGCAAATTTGTCTGTAGCTTCTCATTCATTACAAACGAGCGTGGCGGAACCATCTCCCTCTGTGGACAAGTCGAAAACAATTCTTAAGTAAACCTTACGAAACACGTTTTCTTTCAATAAAAACGTGGTGAAATGAGTTTTTAAGTAAGAAGAATATATTTTTTGTTACACTTTGATGTTTTACATTAGTCTAAGTTCGAATTAGGTCTAGATAACAGCCTAGCAGCCTAAAAATTTCCAAGACTTTGATTTTACTCTTGCCTTCATAAAATCCTGGGTCATGATTTTCACGTACAAAAATTGTGCAAGGAGCAAAACTTTCAAGTGCTATTTCATATCATTTCCAAAGTAATTTTAAAGAATTTACTTTGCTTAACTCCTATGCTTTGTGTTGGTGAATTTCTGCAAGATTCTGTATGCAGAATGGATATATTTTGCATCATTCCAAGCAAAAACAATGCAACACACGTTTGAAAAAGAAATGCGTTTTACGTTTCCCCCAATTTGTATCTGTGGAACGCATCGCCGGTCGACCAAAATGCGTTCGACAGCATTTTAATTCGGAAACGCCTCGAAACGCAATCTT